AAAAGCCCCCGTTCTACTCCAAGTACACCTTCCAGCTCCCGTCGCTTTTTGTTTTTCTCGGGAATCGTTTGTTTTCAGCAACCGTTTTGCGCCGTCTATCAGTTCCAGTTCGTGCTTTATTAGTGGAACAATTTGAGCATCTTGCAGGCCACACGGGAAATCGCCGTTCAGCATCTTGGCCAACTTTTTAAGCAACTCAAACTGTCTCTGAAGAGTGAGCTGCTCTCTTAGCAGTACTTCGTTACTTTGTGAAGAGTCCCTGATGTCTCGTTCTTTTACTTCCAGAACTTCTTTGCTCCGAGTAGTATCGGCGGAGATGATCAGTCGTCGGTTGTAGGGGCGCCAAAGGGGTATTATCACCGGCAGCATGTTCTTTGTGTGCTGAACTTCGAGCATCCGCGTGCTGAACATCAGGTTGCACAGTCCCTTTTCACTTTCGTTTCTCACGCCATTTTGGTTCGCTGAATCGGCAGCAGTGGTGCTGCTGTTGAAGTAGGATGCTTTTTGCGTGGTCACAAGGGTTCCCTGACATTTTGCAGTTTGCCACTTCAACGAATCACCAAAGCTTTCGCCAGGCAAGAATTGGATCAATTTGAGGCGAACGAGTTCTACGAAATGCGCAGCATCCGCAACCGTTGCAAAATTCTTCGCGTTATGGAGTATCCTTTCCACAGTATCATCGCTAAATTGCGGCAAGAAGGCAGTTGCTTTGTGCCCACGTGCAATGAAGTGAAAGAGAATCTTTGTCAGTGCCGGCACTGGGTAAGGAGCCACAAAACCAAAGCGTTTTCCTTCTGTCTTAGGTCGTCGTAAATAACTCGAGCAGGTGCTCAGACGATCGTCCAGACGATAATTCTGTTCGTAGCTGACGCCAATCAGCGGTCCGTCAATCAAAACCTGTAATTTTTTTTCAATTATTTTCACTTTTTTAAAGACAGAATATATATTTCAAGGCAAGCCATGATTTTCGAGAAATTTTTCACATAACTCGGAGAGTTTGCATTTCAGAGCGGTTAAGGTGCTGCAAATTTGCTGCTAAGTCCGAAGTTAATAAACGATTTTTTGTTAATAAGTTTCTCTCAGCCGCTGATAACTTCGCTATCAGGAAATTAATGCTAGTGAAGGCACCTGAAAATGGCACTTGAGCCATTTTCAAGCCTCTGCTTCTCAAAAAGAATGAAATGTGCGGGAAGGAGGCGTAACTG